ATGGAAAATGTTTTGCAAACACTCCCAGTAGTTTTAGAGATAGGTGCAAGATATGTTTAGAAGAAAAAATCAGGATAATAAAATATAAAGATTAATGCAAACTTTTAAATCAAAGGAGAGAACTAATTACGAAATGTAGACATAGAAATAGATTCAAAATTATATAAGAATACATGTGTATATATGTGGGGGTGTATATGTTCATATAGTAACATATATAAGAGAATCAATACACATAGATATACATACATACATACATATATACATATATATATATATAATCCAAAATTAAAACACCAAACAGCCATTTCGAAAAAAAATTTGGGGAAAGTGCTTTAGAAGTAGATGCAAGCTATATTTAGAAGAAAAAAATCAATGCAAACTATTAAATCAAAGGAGACAACTAATTACGAAATGTAGACATAGAAATAAATTCCAAATTACATAAGAATACATATGCATATATGTGAGGGTGTATGTGTGTTGTGGTAAACCCTCCTACAGTAGAATAAACTCATCCTCCTCTCATAAATACTAACTGCGAGACTTCCTAGCAAGAGTTGTAAGCAGTCAGTTGGGAAGCGAAGATGCAGTGCTAACCTACCGTTCGGACGCACACCTCTATCTGCTTATTATTAATACTCTTGCTTTGTATATATCTATTATTTCAATACACTTGTTCAACCTAATTTTGTCTTCCATGTCTTTCTTTCTGGCCTCTAAACAGACCACAACAATGTGTATGTATAGTAGCATTTGAAGATATGTACATATGTAAATGTGTTGGACACATGTGTTCGGTGCTCTGGTATTACTCACAATCTATAAATCTATAACTCAACTAATTTACATTAATCTTAATGGGCTTAAGTTTAAATCCCCCATCGCTTATTAATAATACTGGCCACTTGTAGTACGAAAACGATTTACTGTGAATCCCAGAAAAGACATTCTGGGCCTTTATAAGAAACCTCACATAGTAGGAACTGATATTAAACTAAATCAACAAGCTCTGGCCATAAATAAACTCCAAACCCAGACTGCTTCCCCCAGGACGAGATACCTTATGCTCTAACCAAATCACTAACACAAACCCACTCTTAACAAGGCATCTACCAGAGGAGGACTGACATTGAAAAGAAATTTAGAACAATGCTCCAAGACAGGCATATAGAGGCTGATGATAGCCTTATACAGAATGGCTTGAAATAGACTATCTGTATATTGAAGTAATTTTTATATTTTTGCTGTAAAATATATATATATATATATATATATAGACACACACATATATATATATATATAGGCAAAATAAGCACAAATGAAATATATTATTGTTGAAACATCATTGTAATCATGTTGTGGTTTTTAACATTTTTTAATATCCTAAAATAATATATATATATATATATAAGAAATATAGTCTTAAGGTGTGCTATATTTATGGAATAAAGTGCTCAATATCAGAGATAGAGCGTGTGTAAATATAAAAGCCTGACGATTGCATATAGCATGAAACAGACTGTTGCCTCTAAGTGTTGACTTCTATGTTCACTTTTTATATATATATATATATATATATATATATATATATATATATATATATATATATATCCACAAAGATGAGAAACGAATAGAGTACAATTCCAACGTTCATAACATATAATTTAAAAGAGGGCTCAATACAAAGTAGAGCAATATTATTTATGAATTGAATATATTATTTGTAAATTAAATAATTAATTAGGTAATTTACAACCGCCTGATGAGATGCATTGATATGCATCAAAACATGACAGCAATTGTATAGCAATTTTGACATGTTTTTGTGTAATATGCTAAAGTAAAAGATTAAATATTATATATATATATATATATATATATATATATATATATATATATTTTATTTAAAATTGTAAATATTAATTATATATTAGGCATAAAAAGAGATAAGTTTTTTTCCAAAAAACGTTAAAATTAAAAAAAAAAAAAAAATAGAAGAAAAATATCATGATTTACATTAAAAATTAATCTTGATTGATGTATTTCAACAGAAATTTTTTTTTTGCCTACATGTAACCATCAATTTATTTCTCTTGTTTAATAAGTTAGGGTTATTTAAGTGTTTTAAGATAACTAATTTTTCAACAAGGCTTAAATTACATCTATCACATTTCCCATTGTATGTGTATACACACACACACACATATATGTAACATGACAATTGTCTTTAGCATGGAACAGACTGTTGCTACTGGGTGTTGACTTCAATGTCCACTTTTATATTTACATACGCTCTTTGCCTGATATTGAGCACTTTAGCTGATAAATATAGCATACCTTAAAAGTATATTTTATCTTATATATATATATATATATATATACATACACATATACACATTATATTGATAAATATTTAGTTTTAAGGTATGCTATATTTATAGATTAAAGTGCTCAATATCAGTGATAGCACATATGTAAATATAAAAGTGGACATTGAAGTCAACACCCAGAGGTGACAGTTTGTTTCATGTTAAACCCAACCATCAGACCTGATGGTTGCATTTAGCATGAAACAGACTGTTGCCTCAAGGTACTGAATTCAAAGTCCACCAATTCTATACTTGGATATATATATATATATATATCTATCTATCTATCTATCTATCTATATATATATATATATATATATATATATATATATATATATATATATGAAAGAGAGAGTGAGAAGTAATGGATTTTTTATTTATTAATTCAACTAATTTTATCAATTTAAACATTAATTTTAGTGGAAACCCATATTTGAGTGGATGCTCCATTTATTTATTTACCAGCCTGAATATTTGAGAAATCTTATTAAAGAAAAATATGCAAACTCCTGCAGGATTTGAACCTGTGTTCCCCTTTGCAGTAGAAATCATTGTTACATCAGACGTGCTCTTGACTGACTCAGCCATAGAATGCATTGATGGTCAAGCACTATAAGGCACTATTCAACTTTGCTTTTCTCTAATGGTGGCAGGCAGTTGTTTGTGAGTGTCAACATCTTCTGATGCCTTGATCTTGATCCCCACCCTTTTCTTTATCCTTTCCTCAAACATCCCTCTTTTCTCTCTGTAACCCCTTGCGTGCTAGTGGCGCTCCTGCTTTACTTGGGGTGAATTGCTTTAAAAAAAAGTCCAAATATATGATGTGTATCTGAAAAGTAACAGGTCTGGTGTCACAAACAATTTATTTCAATTCCAAAGAACAAACTACATGGTTTCCCCCTTCAAATTAGCCCAGACCTTGAGTCTAATGTCATCTCTTCTACTCCAACAGCTTCTTAGCTCGGATTTCCCAACATTGGAACTTTCTTCCTTTTACTTGCTTCCCTGATAGTTATAATCTTCAAATATTCAAATGTAATGTCAATCGGCATCTTCTGATGCTTTGATCTTGATACCTGTCCTTCTCTCTATCCTTTCCTCAAAAACCCCTGTTTTTTCTTACTTTCAGTCTCTGTAACCCCTTGTGTGCTAGTGGCACTCTCACCTTGCTTGGGGTGAAATGCTTAAAAAAATAAAAAATAACTTAAATGATTTGTCAGCCTTCCTAAAAGGGTTGTTGTTATGTGACCAGTGTAGATTATCACTAAAACATGAGACACTGTCTTATACTGGGCAGTTGAACTGAAATACTACATTGGTCATTTTGGATTTTTATAGGCATGTTGTTATTTATAATTGTTTAATTTTTAGTCATTTCACCCAAAGCAAGGCAATAAAGCCACAAAGATGCAAAGGGTTACTGAGTTTTAGAGAATATGAAAAAAAAAATACTATTAAGGAGAAAGAACAATACAAGAATAATCAGGCAGACAACACATGACAATTAATATTGCATTGAAATATTTGAAGATCAAAGTTGCCTGGGAAGCAAGAAAACAGAAGGGAGTTCCACAAGCGAGAAGTATGATGGATGAAAATGCTAACATAGAACTTATGATTATTTCAACTGTGAAATGATGAGACCTTGCTGTCAATCTAGTACTGTGCTTACATTCATAAAGTCTAGGTGCTCTAGTGAAAAGTTCATCTGAACAATGACCATGAATATATTTATAGAAAAGGCAGAGGGAAGCTATATTATGGCAGTGGGAAAGGGACAGAAGGTGAGATGCCAGGTCAGGACCAATAACATTGCAGATTCTTCTTTGGATTTTATAAAAGAATCTCTAAATATATAGCAGGAGCACCAGACCAGATGTGGCAACAATATTCAAAGCAAGGACAAGTTGTAGACTTGTAAATATATAAGATAGATTCTGGCAAGAAAAATTGTCTTGCATGACACAGAGAACCAACTTTCCTAGCAGCTGACTTAGCAATTGATTCAATATATTCTTTCCACTTCATGTCAGCAGAAAACATTAATCTGAGAAGGCGCAATGAATCACTCTCCTGTAGGTTGGTTTACTGTAAACTGAAGAGTTCCCACCTCAACTGAGCAGGTTCTATTTATACTTGCACAGACATCACAGTTAGCATCAGCCATGCTGAAGGAAAGTAAAAAGATTTGGGAGTTTTTAATTTTCTATCATTTATTGTACGTTTTACACATTTGCTAGCGTCAACAGTTTGAAATATATTGTCTAACAATTTGTTGCATGTCAAATTCATCCTGTTTGTAATTTTTGTGCATCTGGTTGCGATCACAGAAATTAATGTTTTGTTGCACTATATTTTTAATGTTGGTTTTGTTTAGTTTCTGCAAAAAAGTGGTTAATGAATTGATCAAAAATGTTTTCGTCCGGTAATCATTATAGACCATTTCTACACTATGTTAGTCTTTCCAGAAAGGAAAACTGTAAAAATGTTACAAAAACTTAATAAAAAACTTATTAGATTTTCCTTGTCCGTCATATTCAATGAAACATGTATAAAAGAAAGGTTGCTACCAAAATACACAATATTCATATATATTTGCATCTTCCTCTTACTTTTCATAATCCATAGTCGACATTTCTTTTTCTGGCTATATGTCTCCTCCTTCTAAAACATCTACTTCTTTTTTTTCCTCCCCTTCTCTTTCCACTTATACTATTCTCTTCTTCTCATCCTCCTCCACCTCCCAAATCATTCACTTTCTTTTCCTCCCCCTTTCCCAAACCATTCTCTTTCTCTTGTTTCCTCTCCTCCTCCTCCTTCCAAAACATTCACTTTCTTTTCTTCCCTTTCTCCTCCTGCTCACAAACTATTCTCTTCCTTTCATTTCGTCTCTGCCTCCTCCTCCTCCTCCTCCCAAACTATTCACTTTCTTTCGTTTCCTCTCACCATTCACTTTCTTTTCCCCTCTCTCTTTCTCAAATTATTCTCTTCCTCTCATTTCTTCTCCTCCTACCTCCATAGCATTCTCTTTCTTATCGTCTCCTTTTCACTCTTCTTCTCAAACTGTCTTCCTCTTGCTTGTCCTAAATCACTTTCTCCCACTCCTTCCAAATCACTTTCTCCCACTCCTTCCAAATCACATTCTCCCACTCCTTCCAAATCACATTCTCCCACTCTTTCCAAATCACTTTCTCCCACTCCTTCTCAACTATTCTATTCTCTTTTTTTTCCCCCCACTTACTTCTACCTCCTCCTCTCTTCTTTTGTTTCTTTCTTTCATTGTGTATTTTAATATTATTCTTTTCTCCCTCTACCTTCTTTATCCACTTTCCCTTACCTCTCACTCATTTCCCACCCCATAAAACACTTCATTTTCCACACACTTCAAGCAGGACATCGCTTCCTCCTCCTCTTTGCTTCCTAATTAATCTACCTAATTAGCCTACAATTATTTTCTATTAATCAATATTCATTCAACACATTTCAGCTTTGTTAATTTTTATGTTTTTGACAGATGATATTTATTTTTTTTCCATTTTCCTTTTCCCCTTGATTCAATGACATCTTTACCCGAAACATCCCACCAATACCATTACTAATACCATTGAGAAGACGAAAGATATCAGTTACATTGCATGCCAGTGAAAGGATTATTTCAGCTATTAGTGAAATTACAGAAAGGAAAAAATGATTCTCTCTCTCTCTCTCTCTCTCTCTCTATATATATATATATATATATATATATATATATATATCCTTTTAGTTTTGAAATTTTGCTGGGAAAGCTAAATACATGATAGATACAAAACAAAACACTTAATGGAGATTTATACACGCACATACACATACATATATATGCATAAATATATACACTTATATACATAAATACACTCATACATAGAGATACAGGCACACACATGTACTTACACACATTTGCATAAATACGCACATACAGACATACACAGATATATATATGAATTGTACATAAAGTGCTGGTGCTATTGAATAGTGCTTGATGGTTATATAACAGCTATAAAGTGTGTGTATATATATATATATATATTAGAAAATATACATATGAATGGTGTGACATCATATATACAGAGGATGTGGTTGGTTGTCAAACATCTCAGATGTTGAACAAATCAGTTTTCTAACAGAAAATTCAAGATGAATATATATATATATATATATATATATATATATATATAATGAAGAAATATACTCTTAAGGTGTGCTATATTTATGGGATAAAGTGGTCAATATCAGAGATAGAGCATGTGTAAATATAAAAGGAACATTGAAGTCAACACTTAGAATCGACAGGCTGTTTCATGCTAGACACAATCGTCAGGCCACGAGTATATATATATATATATATATATATATATATATATATAAGAAAGGACAGTAAGATATATAATCTGGTGTTCTTATAGATATTTTTATTTTTACAAAATAGGGCTCAATGTAAATTTACAGAGCATTAATATTATAAATTGATTTAAAATATGGTTTTTTCACTACACTGTGTAGCGGAAAAAACATATTTTAAATCAATTAATTTATAATATATATATATATACATATGGAAGTGGGCATTGAAGTTCATCTCATGCTTAAATGCAATCTTCTGGCCATGTGTGTTCCTTTGGCTCGACTATTTGTATATGATGGTCAGTGGTGCATTATGGGTAGGTCTATTGTATTATTGTAATGGTTATGTTTCAAATTATTCTAGGGACTATAGAGTATATATAATTGTGGGACAGAATGCAGTTTTGTAGCTATTTTATAGTGTTTATTAACATTTTTTACTTATTATTTAGTATTGATTACTTTTGCTTATGTTTATGCTTGCATTGGTTGTTGATTTGTTTATTATTTACTTAATTTGTTTACTTTATTTATTTATATGTTTTTTGGGAGTTTCTTCTTTTTTTCCTTTTTTTAGTTTTCAATTTTTAACTAAAGTAGTAAAACATCCGATGTTGGACACTCGTACATACACTCTTTTCCTGATATTGAGCACTTTATCCCATAAATATAGCATACCTTAAAACTATATTTTTATTGTATATATCTAGGTAAAATGAGAACAAATGGAGTATAATTTCACTGTCTGTAACATTTGATTTAAAAGAGGACTCAATCCAAAGTAGAGCTAAATATTATTTATTTTAGGATATTAAATAAAATCATGTTAAAAATCACTACACATATTGTTCTTAACATGTTTTTTATTTTAATATTCTAAAATAAATTATATAGTCCTTGTATATCAGATCCTGTGGACCTTCCCTTTGTAAACAGAGGGAATGCTTACTGGGTCTGAATGTTATTGGAATCTAGATTTCTGAAATTCATTTTTTTTTCTAGATTTCTTGAAATTATTTTTTTCTAGATTTCTTGAAATTCATTTTTTTTCTAGATTTCTTGAAATTCATTTTTTTTCTAGATTTCTTGAAATTCATTTTTTTTTCTAGATTTCTTGAAATTCATTTTTTTTTCTAGATTTCTTGAAATTCATTTTTTTTTCTAGATTTCTTGAAATTCATTTTTTTTCTAGATTTCTTGAAATTCATATTTTTTTCTAGATTTCTTGAAATTCATATTTTTTTCTAGATTTCTTGAAATTCATATTTTTTTTTTTTCTAGATTTCTTGAAATTCATTTTTTTTCCTTCCATTCGTCATATTAATTTAATTTACACATTTATATATTTTTTAATAAAAATAAATTTGATAAGGCTGGGATGAAATCAGTTGTTCTCTTTCTTAGCTTTTTAAAATACCATATAAATTCTGCCTATTCCTAGCTATTGTTAAATTTTGTGCCATAAATACTTATTTAAATATATATTGTGTATTTAGGCAGCAATCCTTCATTTGTTACATTAAAAACGACAGACAAGGTACTATGGTTAAGCTTTTTATTCATTTTTTCTTGTGCTCGAACAAGTGTTTCCTTTTTTGGACACAGAGTATGTAGAAACTGCCCCAATGTGCTATATTTCTAAGTGCTTTCGGCTAAACTTTTAGCCATTATCAAGGATGATTTTATTTTTTCTGTTTAATTGAGTGCCTGCATTGTGTGTATGTTTTTAGTGTGTTATAGAGATGTTTTATTTTCCAAACACGGTTCGCACATTGTAGCTTTGTTCATAGTTAATATTGTTAAAGTTGGCCTTTTCTTTTTTATTATTAGGGCTTCCGTTATTTTTAATCTTTTTTTACAGGTAGTTGAGGTTATTATGTTTGTGTTTTCTACTAGTATGTTTCGAATGAAGTTTGGTAACTTTGTGTTTGTGTGTTTAAATGGGTTCTAATAGAGCTGTGAACAGATAGGTGTGCAGTTAAGTTTTTTTATTGTGTTTTTTTTGTGTTTGTGCAATTTTCTTTTTTTGGACTTATAAACAATTATACATTCATTTAAAAGTAAAAATAAAATCCATCCTTGATAATTGCTAAAAGAACAGTCAAAAGTGCTCAAACATACAGAACATTCAGAAAAATTCTACATGATTCTAAATTTATGTCCAGAAAAGAAGGAAATTACGAGAACAGAAGAAAAAATTAAAAAAAAAACTTAACTGCAGTATCTTGTCAATCGTTTGTAATGGAACTTGTATAAAAGTGGGATTGCTTCTCAAATACACAATCATATCTCTCTCTCTCTCTCTCTATATATATATATATATATATATATATTATTTATTTAAAAATATGATTCCAATGCTACATAAGAGTTCTCATGTTTCAAAACAAGAGCCGAAAACTTTGATATAATTATTTGAATTAAATTGAATTAAAGTACCAAGCTCTGTTCCATCTTCAAGCGAAATGATTCCAAAAAAAATAATCCAAAGTTCTTTAGTAATTTTGTTATTATTTTTAAAAAATAGTGCTCAATACAAAAGTAGAGCATAAATATAATTATTTAAAAATATGATTCCATTTCTACATAAGAGTTCTCAATGTAAATCCAGAGCAAATAATTTAAATAAAAACAGACCACTTTAAGGTTCCATGTAATAAAAAGTCTGATGATCCGCAGTCCTTTAAAAGGGCTGTGGTTTTTATTTAAAATATATATATATATATATATATATATACTATTTTTATTATAATATTTTAAATTGCTACACAAAAATTTCCATGTTTTGGAACTTTAAAATTGTGTCCCTCATCAGGCGAAGTTAGATAACTTAAGAAAATGATTTACTTGAGAAATCAGAAAACAATTTTGTAGCTCATTTGAGAGTTAAAAAGGAGGGAGAAAAAAACAAAATTCCAAAATTAAAAAACACATTTGTGGGCATGTATTGATTAACCAATCAAAAGACAGATCAAAGCTAAAATATAAAAATGAAAAATAAGGTTAGAAGGTAGGGGTATGTGGGTTATTAATTCATGTCTGGATAAAATTGACACATTAGACACATCCACCACAGACGACATCCTGTTGCAAATATAAGGTTGAGATAATCCAATATAATCATATTTAACACAAAATTATTTTTAAGGAATTTCAAGATTTTTTAAATATTTTTATACATCAGAACGTTCTTAAGGAGGCCTCTACTATAATTAAAACATTTTTATATATATTTTAAACCCAAAATACGATACATATTATATTGATTAGGCAATAAAACATGGCAATATTAAAGCTGAAAAATTGAAGAATTAAATAAATATTATATGGACCATTATATATTAATAAAATAATGGATATGTAATCGCAATGCATAGATTTTTATGGAAAATTCTTTTAACTATATTTTAAAGTAAACATTATACAATGCCTACAGATTACTCTTAATTTATTTCTCTGATTTAGAACTTTATTTTTAGGAAATGGAAATTTTTGTGTAGTGATGTAAAATATTATAATAAAAATATTATAATAATATTTTGCTCTGTGTTGTATTCAGCACTTATTTAAAAAAAAAAGTAAATGCTAAGAACTGTGGATTCTTAATCTGTCTGTTCTTTCTCTTTATTTGGAGATGTGTGTGTGTGTGTGTGTGTGTGCAAATATATTGATAAAACAGGAAAGAATCATTAGACTGATGATCTCAAGTCCTTTAATATTTTTGTTTTTATTTAAAAAAACAGCGTTCAATACACAAAGCCTTGATTATAATTATTTTTTTTAAAAAAATGATTCCTTTACAGGAATTACCATGTTTCAAAACTAGAAGTCTTAATTTCCAATTATAGAAATTAAATTAAAGTAACTATTTTGTTTCATTTTCAAGCAAATTTTTGAATTTTGGTACTTTAATTTAATTTCTATAATTGAATTTGAAGTTTTTAGCTTCTGTTTTTGAAACATGGTAATTCCTGTGTAGAGATGG